AGTTGGTAAAAGCATAACTTCACCAAATTTTAAACATTAACTTTAATTTTTAAGTTAATTTATGATTTGCATTTGTATTCTGGTTATATTGATTTTTTTTTACAGATTTGTACACTGACTCGAGTATCAAACAAACAGACAGGTGGGTTAATAAATAAATAAATCCACCTTCTCCTATAATGAAAAATAAGCAGACTGACTAGATCCTTTGTTTCCAGGATTGTTTTCTTTAATGTAATAGTCATTCTGAGACAGGAGAAGAATATACTTTGCCAACTTTTGTTCTGAGCCAAAATTTCTATTCCTTTTCATGACTCTGGGATCCAACAAAGAGAGCAAAGAAAGAACAAGCTGGGAAAGGTAATAATCATGGTGTAGCACGAAAAGCCCTTTGATCTTTTCTGCCTACTTTTTTTTTGGCACTGTGAGACCACTAAGCCTGCACATAAATTGTGGGTTTGCATTGCCAGGTTTTACCCCCCCCCCGAATCAGGCTTAAATTGCCAACTAGACAAGATGGACATTTGGCCAGAGGATTCCTTGTGTTCAACTCTATTGTGACCCTTTTCAAAAGTGCTATGCAGGAAAAGAAAGGCTCTTTCCAACATTTGCATGGCAAAGAAGTCTTGCTTTGGGTATATCAATAGCACTTAGACTTATATGCCGCTTCCCAGTGCTTTACAGCCCACTCTAAGTAGTTTACAGAGTCAGCATATTGCCCCCAACAATCTGGGTCCTTATTTTACCAACCTCGGACGGGTGGACGGCTGAGTCAACCTTGAGCCGGGAAGGAATCGAACTTCTGGCAGTTGGCAGAACTAGCCTGCAATACTTCATTCTAACCGCTGTGTCACCACAGCTCTTTAAAAGTATAAAGTGATAAGAAGTATAGAGTGATAAGGAAAGCCGTTAATTTATTTAAAGAAAGTCTATGATGTGTGAAATGGAGTAACTCAGATGTGAGGACTAAGTGGAACCCTACAAGAGTAAACCAAAGATTCATCCTGCTTCCAACAGTGCCCAATGATGGGATGTCCTTAACTGGTTCACAACTGGTTGTCATGTTGCTTCTCAGCAAGGACCTTTCAGTCACTCTTCGCTACTGAAGCTACTGATCGGGAATGCATGGAAGTGTCCTTTGTAGATTTATATAGTCCTTTTTAAAAAATCCTCAGATTGAAAATCCATACACATTTTTTTAAGCATGCTTAAAGTTAACATTTGTCTTTTTGGAGCATAAGTCTCTTATTTTTCTTGCCTCCCCAACTCGGCTTTGCTTTTGAAGATGCTATTGTAATCAATAGCATCTTCAGAAGCAAGTAACAGCTTATGGGGGAACAGGATTCCAGAATAAGGCATTAGCAAATGTTTTTCCAGCAAAATAAAATGTCATTGTTATTGACATTTTTTTTAAAAAAAAAATATGTACAAATATAATGCAGTCACTTTAAAAAAAAACAGACTGCAGTTCAGGGGTGCTCCTTGGCCCTTAGCCATCACCACATGTATGAATGACAGCTGTGATGAGGACTAAATTTGCACACCTACAGCTAGTGTGATTTATGGTCCACTTATGTCATTATCCACGATTACACAGTTACATCCTGTTTTGACAATTGCAATGTGTTCTACGGTTCATGGGACTCCCCTGGAAAAATGTCTGAAAATTACACTTTCTGCAAAATGCATCAATCAAGCTAAAAATCTATAAAATGCATCTCTTTTCCCAATTATTGCTAGCATTAATGTTCACATACTTGTCTTAACTCCATGCACTTTTATCATTTTAGCCATCTTCAGTATTTGCTTGAGTAGGAAAATGGACCATAGATTGAATGCATAAACACAGGTTCAACCATGTTTTGTAGGAGCAAAGGCATATTACCAGGCAGCCAGTTTGATGTAGTGGTTGAGGCTCCAGGCTAAAAAGCAAAGGCTGTGAGTTGTTGTCCTGCTTTAGGCACAAAGCCAGCTGGGTGACTTAGAGTCAGTCACTCTCTGACCTAGGAAAGAGGCAATGGCAAACCATTTCCCAAAGGTTTTTGCTATGAGAACTGCAGGGACCAGTACAAGAAGACCCCAGAGGTCAACACTGACTTAAAAGTGGACGCACGCGCACTCTCTCTCACACACACAAAATATCTCCTACCAATTGAGATGGAATCAGAATGATGACCTGCACAGTGTCATGTCATAGTGCAAATCGTACCTCTAGGTAACTAAAAGGAATATATACAAAAATTGGAAAAACAAACCAAACAGACCTATTCCCAACCACTTTTCTTACCTGTCCATCATGCTATAATAGTCACAGTCACCTCACTCATCAAAATGACCACACTGACTTTTTCAAGGAAGCACAAAGCACTTCCATATCCACATTGTTTCCATTCTCCAGTCCTTTAGCAGAAGAACGCAGAAACTTTCATTCCAGGTTCTTGGAATAAAAAGAAAAGGATCTCCAAGATGCCATGACATTCTTCTCCGTTACCTTGAAGTGAAATGAGCACCAGCCCTTTTGCAACAAGGCATTGCAGCAGTTGGAATGGATGAAACTAAACAAGGCAGACATGGAAAAGTGGGGAAGAGAGGGAGGGAATAAGATCTGGGAGGTGGGATGAGTCAAGGTCACCTGACAATGGAAAAGCAGATTCCCCAAGGATTGCAAAGACGAAACCAACTTTGCTCTGGTTTCAGACATTCTGTAGTGGAATCAGAGAGAAAAAATACCTCAGCGACTTCATTCTCACAGCAGCAGATTTCGTGCTAATCACATGCCTGCTAGTCCAGAGCTCACCTTAGTATCTCTTAAGTTTGTTGCTCTTATAAATTGCCTCATGCCAGAAATGCTGTGAAATTTTAAGCAAGAGCTACAAAAGAAAGCCAGGATTTCAGCACAGGATAGACTCCCAGGGCCAATCTCCTAAGCAACTGAAGTATTACTGCTGTCTTCTTTTGGGAACCTCTTTTACTTCTATCATTACATTCAATTTTGATTTCACCAGTTGTTCTCCTAGATATCATTAACTTGTCCTCCCACTGCTTTTTTCTGCAGGTGGGGGAGGGCATTATCAGTTGTGCCAACTGAATATTAAATTATACGGCCCAATGGCTATTTAGAAGGTGCTTTAATCAGCTAGCCTTTCAAAAACCTAATGCACAACCTTTCTAATCATACCTATGGAGTAGGGAGCATTGAAACCAACATCCCCAGAACCCACAATGTACAAACTGCTTATTTGATTTTATTTGAAAGCAGATCATGCTAAGTTTAAGAAAAAATCTAAAATCAGGCTTAACATTCTTAGCAGAAACAATCTCAAGCACTTCTCCAGTTCATTTTTAAGTCATCCAGCCCTGGTAAGCACATTGTTCACAAGCTCTTGTAAAATTTTAGAGCTTGACACTTTAATGAATCCAAACAATCTCTAATGCATCATTATTAGATTAACGTGTTGATGAAACGCATGAGCTTGTTTTGTAACATTTAGTTAGCTGGGTGCCATGAAGTCTAGCTTGACCATTGGCCGCCTTATGGAGAGATGCCCATCATCTCAACCTGTCCGTGGTGACCATTTGTAATTCTTCCAAGTGCTTATCAACTCACTTACCCTTTTTTCTTTATTTCTCTTAGCCTTTCCAAATATCTTTAGTTCACCATCCCACTCATATCCCATGCTCAAAATATGCACATTTATGTTTGCTGATCATGAGTTCTAAGTCTTGATTACATTCAACTAACAGGTCGTCTTTGCATAGTTGAGCCTGTTCATTAGATTGATTTTATATTCTTTGTTTTTCTAGATTAAGTCTTAAGGGCACATTCTACTTGCTTTAATTTTAATTCAACCTATATACCTCACACCAGCCTGTCTCTTCCATAATCTGGGCTTGGAAATGCCCTTGTGAATGTGTTCAATAGTTTGTGTATTAGACCTGATTCCAGTATTGTGCATCTGGTGACATCCATGTGAGAAATTTGGGTCAATGTGGTTTAAAGCAGCTACACACAGTCAACTTCATGACCGCTCACTTAGCAACCATTTGACATTACAACACCCCCCCCCAAACTTACATACAATCTGGTTCCGAAGTTGTACTGAAGCTACCCCACCCACCACCCATGAACATGTGAGCACATTTTGGTGCTCAGCAACTGGCCTGGATTTATAGTTGTTTGCAGCATCCCATGATCATGCAAAAATGTTCTGCCCCAAACATTATTAACCCTCTCTCCTACATTGTGCAGTGTTCTCTCACACTCAAAACTTTCCCAATAATTTCAATTTCTGCCATTTCCCCAACTTTTGCATTTCAATCATCTCTTATTAGTACAATATCTTTTATTGGCGCTGCATTTAACCCCTTTCAGTTCTGCCCTATTTTTTTTTTTTCTGTCGTCTTTCATTGCCTCTAGTAAGTGCATATACTTGTATAGCACTGGTGCTAACAGGATAGGCACTCAGTGCAATTAGTAATTTACATCAAGACCTGGTTATTTGGTATACAAATGACAGCTGAATCCTCTGTGAAAAATACATCTTTTTTATTCCATAAATAATCCAGTGTTATTGCAAATAAGGTTTTGATTCACTATTTTCTCAAATCAGTGTTCTTTAAACAGTAGGAATACTGTAGCTTCCTACCATCAGGTTCAGTATAGAAAATATAGAGTACATTTTTAACAAATGTTCAGGACCAAAGGATGATTAACATTGCATACATGCTGACTTTTATCTGGCTGTCATCCCCAGATTTATTTCTAAAACAGGAATGCCTAGGATCAGACTGTCACTTAGGTAAAATAACAAACTAAATGTTAAATTTTAACTGGAGAAAGTGAAACAGCTAACTTAAAGTACTTTCTGATAGCGCAGTGTTTCCCAAACTTGACAATTTTAAGGCATGTGGACTTCAACTCCCAGAATTCCACAGCCAGCGTTGCTGGCTGTGCAATTCTGGGAGTTGAAGTCCACATGCCTTAAAATTGTCAAGTTTGGGAAACACTGTGATAGTGCATCCTGGCCAGTGCAGCGTCTCTGCACTTTTTTCTTCCCGATTTGAAATACAAGGTTCCCCTCTCCCCAAATACTGGTTGCTTTTAGATGAAGCTAAGTATTGCATAAATCACCTTGCCCCATTCAGGGAATTTTTCCCAGTTAATGTGATTCATTTAGTAACTGGCCTGTATTCTACCATTTTGTATCCATTTTTTAATAACTGACTCAAAAAACATGGAAGAAGAAAATAGCAATGCAATTATGCAATAGATGAAAGTAAGATTTTGCTTGGGAAAGGCAATGATGGATACGATACTGATGGCCACTTTTCCATCTATTGCCAAAACTATTTGTGGACTTATTTGCTGTCCTATACACAGCCAATCTTCATTTCTACATGGAGCTCAATATACAATGAAATCCTATTAAATTTATTTCTAACTATCCATTGGTAGAATCTGATTCTGATCCTCTCTTACAATGCTCTCAATTCACACCTTTAAAAGCAAAATTGAAAAAAAACAATCTATGCCAAATTTCTTCTGTGACTGATGCTCAGTTGAACTAAAAAACTGCCCTACTGTTCACAAGGAAGGTAATCTGAAAAACAAAGTAACAAAAATAGTATGTGCCTCTTTTAACTTCCAATTATTTACTTCTGTTTAGAAATAAATCCGTAATATGAGTTTACAGTGGCATTTGTTCAGTCATATTCTTTTAAATTGCAACTATTAAAAGACGTGATAAAAAGTTGTAATAGCCTCACTAGCCTTGAGATGGTGTTTTGTGTGTGTATAGGAGAAAGGGTTAATTTGTTCTTGTTGCATCACAGTCCTTCTGCCTCCATCATTCCCACCAATGAAATTTATGCCATTCATTGCCAAATTTGACATTTTAAAGTAAGGTAGGAGTTAAAATGGTTTGGAAGTCCTATTTCCTTTTGAAAGTTTTAAGTAGGAATGCACGTACCAAGTTCATTGTGAATAAAATGCATAGACATATCAGTTTTGGAGAAGTTGCCCCTTAGATTGGCCTTCAGGCCACAAAAACTTTGCTCAAGACCTGCAACAAACAAGGCACTGGAGCTGGCTTTGTGGAATGGCTCTTACCCAATGCTGATTTCAGCATATTTAGACAAATTCAATCTTATTCACAACACACTGCATACTGCTTCAATAAATCTGCAAATCACATACTGGAAGCATTAAAGCCCATGTCACTTTTAAAGTTTCCGTACCATGTAATTACAATGTAAAGTCTCACTCAACCAGCATTCTCTCATGCAGATTTACACTGTTAGTGTGTTGTGAGCAAATTAACTCACATCTCCTGCGTTTCATTCCCCATTTTTCTAAGAAACACAACCAAATAAGCATAACTGCTATGATTCCTATTTACTTCCAATGATTCATTCTTAACATTTAAATAAACCTTCCCACCTCCCCACAAAAACCTGGATTATTCCCATGAACACCTGTGCATAAGAGATTTGTTGCATCTGAGACATAAATTTGTTATTTAGACATTTGTTGGAATCTATTCCAAACAGGATGACAGCAGGCATTCCAGAGTACAAGTTATTAATCATCCCCATTCTTGCTACTGTGTCTTCCATCTATATGTTTCATTTTGATCAGAAGATTAAACTACTGTACCTCTTTCAGAGCAAATTACAGCTCTATTGTATTAGACATATGTCTTTATATTGGGAAAGAACCAAGGAGTAAAAAAAATTCCTGAATTAGAAAGCAAATTAATGAATAACACTTTTAAAGCACTCTGTCTTGTACTTGCAATTAAGAATGTAATGGTTAGAAAAGCCGTTCAAAAATAAATATCTCAGATGTAAAAGAGCAAAAAAATGGAAAGTACAGTTTCAGAGATTTGCCAACAATCCTTTTTTAAAGTTTGCAGTTAAAGAGTGAGAAAACAAGACCAAAATCTGCCCTTCTTGACTAGTTTCAGAAAGTTTCAGTGTCAAGCCCTCAATTTAGATGTTGGGAGCTTTGTTTTATATACACACAATATCATATATTTTCCACAACAGTATTTATTTCCTTAAGAGAATTAAATATTAAAAACGGCAGCTTTTTCTTCATTTGAAAAAAAACAAGGAAATTTAATTATGGAGAAAACTAGCTTTTTGTTTGTACAAATATATATTTTCCAGGATTTGATTATTTGAACAGAAATGACCTGTAATGAACCACCATCAGGCTCATTACAACGATCCCCGGTGACCGACCCAGACTGGAGTCTGCATTGTTACAATCTATTGTAATGCACTTAATCAGAAACAGGAGAAAAAGCAGGAACTCTTAATCCAAGCATTTTGCGCCAATGGAAACTTGTGCACCGAAGGAGAAAAACAGTTTTGCAGTCCCTGAGATGATGTGAAGGGGGAAAAAAAAAAAAAAAAAACGGGAGGAGGGGGGAACAGCTACACGAGGGATTCGCACACAGGCACAGAGTCCGAGTCCTGACTGTGCATAGAGCTCAAACCCGTGTCGGAATCCTCGTCTTCACGATCTTCGCGGTCTTTGCCCAAACTCCGGGCAGCTTCCTCAGCCCAATTTCCCGAGGTGATGGGGACAGAGGCGGGCAGCTCGTCGCCCGTGTTGAAAGGGAGGTCCCCTCGCTCGCCCTCGTCCACCACCACCGCCGCCGTTTCCTCCTCCACCTCCGCCTCCTCCTCTTCCTCCTCCACGTGTAAGGACTCCAGGGAATCGAGCAAGCGCCGAAGCTCGCACTCTTTATCGGCCCAGGCGCGCTGGGTAAATTCCAGGTCCGACTTCACGGCGTCCAAGTCCGTGTTGAGGCGCAGCCCGATGTAGAGGCTGGTGCTCAGCTGCGTCTTGACGCGCTCCTGCTCCACGTGGAGCTCGCCGCCGCCGCCGCTCAGCTCGGTGGTGTTGCAGTCCGTCTCGGAGAGGCTGGCGCTGGAGCCCTTGGCGGCCGCCAGCTCTTCCCGGCGCCGCCTCATCCAGCGCTCGTTGAGCTCCTCCTGGATCTCGCCGGCCAAATGCTCGATCAGCTCCTCCTGGCGGCGCCACTGCTCCTGCACCCGAGCCACCTGCTCGCACTTCCAGGCGAACTCCTCCAAGCCCTCGCTGCCGGCCGCCGGCGTCTCGAACTCCCCCGCCGAAGGAGGCGTCGCCGCCGCCGCCGCCTCGGGGGCCGCTCCTGCGGGAACCTTTCCCTCCTGCTGCCCCGCGGGGGGCTCCGGCTCTTCTCCGACCAAGTAAGTGTCCTGCACGTAGTTCACCCCGTGGCGCTTCATGCGGTCGAAGTGAATCCTCGCCTCGTAGCGGTCGATCTCCCGGTCTAAGTCGCGGAGCCGCTTGATCTGCTGCCGGATGGTGTGGTCTTGCGAAAGGACCAGATGCACCAGAGTCTCCATCCTCTCGGCCGCCGGGGCCTCCTTAGCCGGCGGCTCCTCGAGTTGCGGCTGCCCCTTCCTCTTGTTGATCTTGGCCAGCTTGCGGAAGGCTTTCCTCACCACGCGCCGCTGCCGCTCCTGGCTCAGAGCCAGGCTGGCCCGGGCTGCAACCCCCAAGCCATGGCGTCCCGGGCTGTCCCTGCTGGGGACCACCCTGGCGTCGGCGCTCCTGGGTCCGGTGTTGGGCAAGGACGCCTCGCTGCGCACCAGCACGAAGCGCACGTTCTCCTGCTCGTCGCCCCAGGCCGCCCAGAGCCTCAGGATCTTGGTCTTGTTGGGCAGGATCCTCTCGAAGCCCCGCCACTTCTCCACGATGCAGTAAGACTGCGGGAGCCCGGACAACATCCCCCCGCCGCACTCCTGCACCGATGCCTGTTGCTGCTGCTGCTGCTGCTGCCGACGCCTGCGCCGCTGCTTGCTCTCCTCCAAAAGGACCCGCACCACATCCGAGCAAGTGGTACGTTTGGTAAGGCCCGAGATTAACTTCTCCTCCTGGCAGATCCACACCGAGATCTTTTTTTCTTCCGGCTCCATCGGGGCACGGCTCCTCGGCGATCCTGGGGGGGGGGGGAGGCCCGCTACTATTCGGCGGGATCCCCCATAAGGAGCGCTCACCAGAGCCGCGCCAAACCGAGCTGCGCCGCCCGAGAGCCGCTGTGGCCAGGCATGGCTGCGACCTCGCGACCCCCCTTCCTCTGCCCGCCTCCCGGGTGCTAAAAAAAAAAACCCCAAAAAAAACAAAACAAAAAAAACACCCCGAGCCTAAAATTGCAGCGCTCCGGGATCGCCTTCTTTGGGATCTGTTGCTTCTACGCTGGCGCTCGGTGGCTGGTTTTTTTTTTTTTTTTTTTTTTTTCCGCCGACGGGATCTCAGAGAAGAACCAACTTCGGAGTCTCAGCTCCGCCTCCTGGTGCTACTGTTGGCTTGCTAAGCGCCTGCCTCCCCCGGCACCTTCCCTCCTGACACTGCTCGGTCTCCTGGCTCTGCTACCGCGTTTTCTTCTCCTGTCACGTGATTTCCCCCCCCCGACGCCCCGTTTTTTTCCAGCAGCTGTGGGCTTTGATTCGAGATGCTGGTACTTTAATCTTAAGAGTAAGAGATCATTGTATGTTACGTTTGTATATCCGCACCCAAGAAATCGGAAGTTATTTCCCCCCCCCTTATTTTTTCCCACTTTTCTGAACCCCCTTCCTAACCTTTTCTTCCCAATCTCTTCATTTTTCTTAAATTTTGTTCTTCGTTGAAATTGGGTAAAGTCCCCTAAAGAAAAAGAGTATCTTTCTGGTGCTGTATATATTCTCATCCCACCCACCCCCCAGCTTTAAAAGGACAGGGGGCACTACGCCCAGTTATACAATTTCACACAATAGGTTAAAACAAAACAAAACAAAAATCCTTGCAGTGGTCCTTCCTAATCGGTTTTGGAGCTCCTTGATAGAAAGTGTTCATGTCCAATTATTCTCCAACACCCTCCCACCCACCCACCTTGCAAAAAACTGTTGGAAGAGAAAGTTTCAAAGAAAACAGTCAAAATCCAGTCCAAATGTCTTTCAATTGAATAAAATCCCCCACCCTGTAATTAAACAAAAAACAAAAAACTTTTCGCATGCCAAAGCATTTTGCAGATCATATGCACAGTGAACTGTAAACCTTACTAAGCATTATTAAAATCTGTGGTTGCTGCCAAGATTCAAAGAGAAAATTTGCTATCTCTTTCAATAGCAAAAGAATGAACAGACAATAAGTCTCTACCTTTTTACATATGCCCAGATGGGGACAAAACCCCGTTATTCTGAGTATAATTCACTTCCTGGCAATTAGATTATCTTACGCTTTATCTTTCACTTCTGGAAAACGGATATGAAAAAAATGAGCTTTCTTTTTGCCTTGTCTGACATGAGAATGTTGCTTTTATTTTTACTTTATTTATTTACTTAAAACATTTGTAAAGCCTCCTATCTTAGAGCAAAACTATTTCCAAAAAAAAAACCCCAATGTGTGCAACAATAAAAGAAAAAAGAAACAGAAAGCCGGAAATTGAAAGGCCAGGTGCTACAGCTACATTTCCCTGATGCAATTCTCAATATTTTTTCCCCACTGTGACCACACCATGTCCCAACCTTTGGGATGAGAGCCAAGTCTTAAGTGCTCTCTGCAGGTGAAGAGGGTGAGGACCTGTCAAATCTCAGTGTGGGTGGGTAGGGCACTGATAGCAGTGGAGAAGGCATGCTTCCAGTGACTGGCAAGATTGCAGTGTTTAATGGGAAAGCCCTATTACCGGTACCATCCCTATCTATTCTGATGAGATAGGCCGATTATGTTTTTCCCATAAAGAAGTTGCTGATTAATAACAGCAACATTTAAAATGATCTGGCTTTTCCATGTATTAAAAGCCATTTGGATGTAAATCGAGGACTATCTGTATTTTTTTTGTTGTTGTTGTTGTTAGTTGTGAAGTCATGTCCAACCCATCGCGACCCCATGGACAACGTTCCTCCAGGCTTTCCTGTCTTCTACCATCTTCTGGAGTCCATTTAAGCTGTCGTCCCCTTCTTCTATCGCCCTCAATCTTTCCCAGCATTAGGCCCTTCTCCAGTGAGTCCTTCCTTCTCTTTTGGTGGTCAAAGTACTTGAGCTTCAACTTCAGGATCTGGCCTTCTAAAGAGCAGTCAGGGCTGATCTCCTCTAGGACTGACCGGTTTGATCGCCTTGCTGTCCAGGGGACTCGCCAGAGTCTTCTCCAGCATCATAGTTCAAAGGCCTCAATTCTTTGGCGCTCAGCCTTTCTTATGGTCCAACTTTCGCAGCCATACATTGCAACTGGGAAAACCATGGCCATACAAAAGGCAAAACTGAGAATGGGAGGGGGAAAAAAAGAAAAGAGGAAGGAGAAAGAGAGGGAGGGAGACAAAGCACAAATCATATCTCCTTTTGACAGATAAATTCTCAGTGTTTGGTGCCCAAAGCAGAGAACATTAAGAGTTGAGCTGGAGATGCACAAAGTGCCAAGTTCAAACAGTTTACATTTCAAAGGTAATGGTTTCTGTTGATTTACGAGCTTTTGTACAACTGATCTGGACTGAGGAGGAAATTGGGCAGATGTGCTTTTTTTCAGAAATGGACAGGTACATCATTTCAAAAGACTGAAAAATCTCAAATCTACAAAACGTCAAACTTACTGCAGCAAAGAAATACATTTCTTGGTCTGCTTGGATTCTTCAAAATCCTAATTTAGAGTGCATTATCTCTCTAGGATTGAGGGAGCATATGTGCAAACAGCACTGATTAAAGTAGTCTGCAACAGCCAGATGCAGGTTTATGGATTTTAAATACCTTTATTCTGTCTTTCAAGACCAAGCTTTCCCAGAGGGCAGGTTACAAACATAGTCTAAAATAAAAATTAAATCTAGGCAAAATGATCCAATTTAGAAACATATTTTTAAAATGGCTGTAGCTACAGTGGTTGCTATGAAATGTAGCTGAAGTGGGCCACTTAAATCAAGATGAAGCCACAGTTCCAAATGTTCGTTTGTCATTGAAAAGAACACAGTGGATATTGATAGTGATCCTACAACATGGGTGTCAAACTTGCCATGTCATGTGATGTATCGTGAGGTATCACGACTCTTTGCATTGCTGACAATGGGGTGGGCGTGGCTTCGGTAGGATGACACCGCTGCCCTACAAGCTCATTCTTACAAGTTTGAGCAGATTCATAAGGGGATATTCCCACTTTCAGGTCCAACGTTTTATAGCTTCTCAGTGTGAAATAGTAATTGTAATTCTGGCTTTTACTTGGAGAAACTTAAACCCCGAGGCCAGGTTCCCTCCTCAGACTGGTTAATCTTTTAACTTTTTAGCTTGGACCGTGAACAGCGTTAGGCGTTATTAGTTCAGAGTGGGCAGCTTAAGGCCACAAGTCTGCCTGTGGTCAATTCTTTTCTTTTTGGCTGTAATAGCCAAGTTCAGGTGGAAACCACATAAAAACTATATCAGGAATCCTACCATAGGTATCTTGCAATGTTTTAAAACACATCCTCTTCTAAATAAGTAGGGAAAAGAGAAAAATCTCAGTTTCATCCAGATGCATGTTGGGCATAATGAGACAGTTTGCAGACTCTATCTCCTCTCCTCTTGAAAAAGTTCATTGCAGAATCCACAAAAAGACTGCCCATCCCTAGCGAAACCATTCTCTCAGATCAGCTTGTTGGAAGAGGTGTACGTGGACCTGTCTCTGCCAAATAGCTCCTTTCGCCTTCTCTGCAGTCTTAAGGTAATAACCTCCCATGAGAAGATTCCTAAATGCTTAAACAAGCTGTTCTGTGAACACCCTCCCTATTATCAAGCATCCCTCTGATCATAATATTTTCACTTGGAGTGATGTCAATCCCGTGTCACAAGCTACATCAGATCCATGCTATGCCATGTGCCGTTGGTGCCAGCAAAAGCAAAATGTTGTGGTGGCCTGATAAAGTATAATGAGACTTAACAATGCCGGGGCAGGGGTTGCTTGCCAGGGAAGCATGTTAGGTGGGTTAATTAAGTGTGCTTAGCGATGTACCAACTACATTAAATGCTTCAGGCTGTCTGCAGGCTTAGGCATATTTTATTGGTTTGCTTTTTTTTTAACTTAGAAAGAATGTTCAAAAGTATCATACACTTGTATGTTTATGTATAAAGAAGTAAATGGTAGAAAATGAGGATCAGGTTTGGGTGGGATAGAGACATGTGAAACCATTCCTGCCAAAGAGAGCCACACAGTTTGGGGTTCAAGCATCCATTCCATTTCCCTTCTGCAGATGAGAGCTTTCTTATCTAGGCTCCCCACTTATATGAACCATTGAGCAATACCACATTGGACCTGGTTTTTGGTCTTGTGAAACTTCATTAGACTCATCACAGGGCTAAGAAATTAGGGATTTGGGGTGGGAGGAGGAAGTTCAATACAAGTGTTAAGCTGCAAACAAAAACAACCATGCCTCAGCCATGCTTGTAATTTCAGATATAAATATTTCTGGACTTGCTTCTGCCAAACCAGTAGGATTAGATTGCTGGATCATGAGTAAGAAGACCAAGATGCAAATGGGCACTTGGTCATTAATCTTCCGAAGTGATGCTTAGCCAGATGTTATCTCTCAACCAGACCTATTTTGGGGGGTGGTTGTGATGATAAAAGTAAGGGAAGAGGAACTTTTATGTATGCTGTTTTCAGGTCCTAGAGCAGTGATGGTGAAACTTTTAGAGACTGAGTGCCCCAAAACTGGCCCCACCCCTGCTCCACTCCCCTGCCCACCCCCGGTCTGCCCCCATCCCCCACCCCACCTGCCCACAGGACCACTCACCACCTCCAGGGACCGCCGCCGCAGATCACCCAGGCAGCCCAGAAGCGCTATGGCGGCCACACCCTCTGCCCGCGCCCTGCAGCATCAACTGCATGATGGGGTGTGAGGGCAGAGTCTTGTCTACGCTGCCTGGCTGCCATGTCCTTGGCTGCGCTGCTCCATGTGGGCCACGCTCGAGGGTGAGTCTCCTTCAGGGGGGCTGCTGGAGAGGAGGTTATGGGGGGAGGCAGGGCTGGGGCAACGGCACGTGTGCCCACGGAGAGGGCTCCGAGTGCCGCCTCTGGCACCCGTGCCATAGGTTCGCCACCACTATCCTAGAGGGAAGATGGTATATAAATATTGTAAATAAATACTTTTGTAGCATTTTTAGCATTCTCATTATCAAAAGAAAATGATTTGCTTGTTTTATAGTTCTGGAAAAACAATCTTGTTGCTGCTAACACTTGTCTTCCAAGAACTTCCCACTTATATGGTGGATGATATCTCCTGACTGAAGTAAAGTCCTGGCTATAAATGAAAATGAATGAATGAATGAATGAATGGTTTAGGCCTGCTTTAACAAGATCATTATGGAATGTGATCCAGGAAGGGATAAATTCAA